GATCGTAAGCTAATTTAAATACGAATCAATAACGAATTACGAAATTAACGAACGAAACCGCCCAGCCCTATCTGCTAGGGTTTTTGTTACAGAGCCCCCAATTGATATCTTTATCTACAGATATATATCATAGTGTCCCTTATATCAAATGGCAAGTTTTTTCTTTCTCATAGTAGCAAGCCATGGATGGTTGAATCTGGGTGCAGAATCCGTGGCTATGGAGGACCAACTGCAAGTGATGTATATCTTTTAGAGCATTCCTATTTCCTTTTAAATCCACTGGTTATAAAATGGGTATCTGAAACAATCAACAAGTCAAGATGCAACCAGGAAAGGCAAAAAAGAAGAATGCAAGGGAGTTTTATTGGGGAGGGGGTCCCTTCAGGGAGTATCCATCCATTCAGACCCTTTGGACTGAGGGTCAGAACCCTGGCTTTCCAGGTCCTTCTGGAGTAGTGGTTCTCAACCTGTGAGTCCCCAGGTGTTTTGGCCTACAACTCCTAGAAATCCCAGCCAGTTTACCAGCTGGTAGGATTTCTGGGAGCTGAAAGCCAAAACATCTGGGGACGCACAAATTGAGAACCACTGCTCTGGGGGAACCTCGCCTCCCAGTATCAAAGACACCTCTGGCTTCCCTCTTTTCTGTAAGGATTGGATGCCATAGATCATTCCCGGGGAGGCCCTGCTCTCGATCCCGCCAGCCTCTCAAACACGGTTGGCAGGGACGAGAGATAGGGCCTTCTCTGTGGTGGCTCCTCGGCTGTGGAACGCCCTTCCTGTAGATGTTAGGCTGGCACCATCTCTCTTGGGCCTTCTTGGTGGTGGCTCCTCGGCTGTGGAACGCCCTTCCTACGGACATTAGGCTGGCACCATCTCTCATGGCATTCCGAAGAAAGTTGAAGACCTGGATGTTTGTGCAGGCGTTTGAGTAAATTAGTGCAATCTGGTAACTGAACATAGGAATGGAACAATGGACGATGAACTTGGATTATGCTTGGATGATGAGGCGATTGGGTACGGGTTTTTGTAATAATTGTGTATTAGATTTGCCTATTAGTTATTAGTGGATAATGTGTTAAGTCAATTGTTATTTGTTGTATGGAACTATTGCTGTTTTTATTGTCTTTATTGTTTGTGAACCGCTGTGAGTCGCCTTCGGGCTTGAGATACAGCGGTATATAAGCAAAGTAAATAAATAAATAAATTCCCAAAAAAGCTCAAATCAAGTTCTTTTCCTGGTGCCACAGCTTTTGTTAGAAGACCTTTAACTTTATATATGTGTGCATGTGAAATGTATTTCATTTGGTACCAGTGCCACAAACCACAATAGATAAAAAGTTGCAACATGACAAACGAACCAGACAAGAGAAACATTGCAGGGTCATTTCTCTCAATTCAGTTCATTACCAATCCTTTTCTCTTTTCATATCTTATTCCTTCTCAAGATCTCATTCTCATTACAAATCTACCTCTTTCAACAGATTTTTCTCAAAAGATGTATAACTTGACCTGTTATTTCTAAGCTAACAAAAGCTGTGGCATAGATATACTGAATAAATGGAGGCTTAATGCCCCAAAGTTGTCCTCCATCCTTAATACTCTAATCCAGTGGTTCTCAACCTTCCTAATGCCGTGACCCCTTAATACAGTCCCTCATGTTGTGGTGACCCCCAACCATAATATTGTTTTCGTTGCTACTTCATAACAGTCATTTTACTACTGTTATAAATCATAATGTAAATATCAGATATGCAAGATGCATTTTCATTCACTGGACCAAACTGGGCACAAATACCCAATGCACCCACATGTAAATGCTAGTGGGGTTGGGGAGGATTGATTTTGTAATTTGGGAGTTGTAGTTGCTGGGATTTATAGTTCACCTATAATCAAAGAGCATTCTGAACTCCACCAGCGATGGATTTGAACCTAATTTGCCACACAGAACTCCCATGACAACGGAAAACACTGGAAGGGTTTGGTGGGTATTGACCTTGAGTTTGGGAGTTGTAGTTCACCCATATCCAGAGAGCACTGTGGACTCACACAATGGTGGATCTGGACCAAACTTGGCACAAATACTCAATATGCACAAATGTGAACAATGTGAAGGCTGGGGAAAATAGACCTTGACTTTTGGGAGTTGTAGTTGCTGGGATTTATAGTTCATTACAATCAAAGAACATTCTGAACTCCACCAACGATAGAATTGGCTCAAACTTCCCACATGGAATCCCCATGACCATCAGGAAATACTGTGTTTTCTGATGGTCTTTGGCGACCCCTCTGACACCCCTTCGCGACCCCCTCAGGGGTCCCGACCCCCAAGTTGAGAAACACTGCTCTAATCGATTTACCATTTCATGTTAACTTTCCATTAAACCAACATACTCCAACATACCACTGGATGCTGTCAGATGCAGCTTGGGGGTTCATGTTATTCATTATGAATGTGGGCCTATCTCAATTGGTTTCTGGACCTACACCCTCAGCAGGGAATACCCTTGATGTGGATTTCAGGTTGGAATTTCCGAATCTGTGAACAGAGGTGAGTAAAACCTCCATGTTGTCAAAGGCACATCATGTTCTGGTCAGGGCTAGTATCATAGTTACCTATCCCTAATAAGACTAACAAATTCTTTGAGACTCCAGGGGGTTTTAGAGTAGACCTGCATACCTGTTGTCCTCCACATGTTTGGGACTCCAACTGCAGAAGCCCTGGTTAGTTTTTCCAATGGTCAGGAATTCTGGAAGTTGAAGTTCAAAGTTCCTGGAGGAAGCTGAGGAGTAATGGTGACCCACTCCCCACTCTGACCTGGCTGGCATTGTGACACACCCCCTGCCAGCTGACATTTAAGATGCCTGACTGACTAGTCCAGGGGTCCTCAAACTAAGGCCCGGGGGCCGGATGCGGCCCTCCAAGGTCATTTACCCGGCCCTCGCTCAGGGTCAACCTAAGTATGAAACTACTTGAATGCACACAATAACAACAGCAATCATATCTCATCAGCCAAAAGTAGGCCCACATTTTCCATTGAAATACTAATATGTTTATATTTGTTAAAATTGTTCTTAATTTTAATTATTGTATTGTTTTAAAATGTTTTTGCACTATAAATAAGATATGTGCAGTGTGCATAGGAATTCATTCATGTTTTTTTCAAATTATAATCCGGCCCGCCAACACTTTGAGGGACTGTGACCTGGCCCTCTGTTTAAAAAGTTTGTGGACCTCTGGACTAGCCTTTGTGGGAGTCAGGAGATCAAGAGAGGTTGAGGGAGAAGTTGTAGTGTAGGATTGAGAGAGAGTAAGTGAGGTGAAGCAAGTGAGTGGAACCATATTAGAAATAGGAATTAGAAAATATATAAGAAAGCACAAAGGAATATGTATGCATGAACTTCACTTGGTAAAATATGCTCTTCCTAAAAGTTGAAAATTAGATGCCACAAAGAGGCCAGGATCCATTAAAGCAGGGGTCCTCAAACTAAGGCCCAAGGGCCGAATACGGTCCTCCAAGGTCATTTATTCGGCCCTTGCTCAGGGTCAACCTAAGTGTGAAATGACTTGAAAGCACACAACAGCAACAAGAACAACAATCCTATCTCATCAGCCAAAAGCAGATCCACACTTCCCATTGAAATACTAATAAGTTTATATTGGTTTAAACTGTTCTTCATTTTAATGTACTGTCGAAGGCTTGTAGGTTTTTGGGCTATATGGCCATGTTCTAGAAACATTATCTCCTGACGTTTCACCTGCATCTATGGCAGACATGCTTACAACCCAGTTCTTCATTTTAATTATTGTATTGTTTTAAAGTGGTTTTTGCACTACAAATAAGATATGTGCAGTGTGCATATGAATTCATTTGTGCTTTTTCTAAATTATAATCTGGCCCTCCAACAGTTTGAGGGACTGTAACCTGGCCCTCTGTTTAAAAAGTTTGTGGATCCCTGCGCTAAACGGTAGAAATACCTCTGGTTTAAGTTGTAAGTAATGTCATGTTGTGCACCTACTCATCAAAGGCGCAGCGGAAGAGCCAGGTTTTAAGGTTCTTTTTAAACGTTTCTAGTGAAGGGGCTTTCCTGATCTCTCCAGGTAATAAGTTCCAAAGTCGAGGAGCCACAGAGGAGAAGGCTCTTTCCCTTGTGCTCACAAGATGAGCTTGTGAGATTGGTAGGTGTGAAGGGAGGACCTCCCCGAAGATCGAAGGGCCCGGGTTGGTACGTGGAGAGAGATACCTTCAAGCTGACTGTCAATTTACTCCAACTTCATGACTTTCATACAGTTTTATTTTTACATCAAGGTGGTTTGTTTTTGCCTTCCTCTATCATTTATAGACTGTGTCAACTATTTATTTCCCTGCAAAATGCACATTGAATAGTCTGCTGCCCTCTACTGTAAATTTCTCTTCTCTTCAGAAAACTGTAGAGTTTCTCTTCTCCAGGATTACATTCCAATGATGTGAATTTTGGAGATAGGGCCATTTTGCCTCCTCCCTGTGCCCTTTTCCTTTCTGCCCATTTCCTTTTCCTTTTTGACCTCCCTGCATTCTCTCCTTGTTTTGCCAAGCCAGCAAATGGTCTAGCACGAAACCTCTGCATCATCTTGTCTGGGAGGCAAGAAAATCCGTGGGCAGCAGGTGCCTCAAGCCCGGCATCTTAGCTTCCCGCTCCATCTTCACTGCAGCTCTCGCTAGGCGACAGAGCGAGACAAGAGAACAAGGCACAAGGCGAGCGATTCTGGCTGGGCATCTGGCCAAGAGGCTTCTTCTGTCTTTGCCTGCTGGATGAGCATGTTTTGAAAAGATCAGTCTGTGGAAGGAGGTGGAGGATGGGGTGGGGGAGCAGCGTTCCCCTTCCTTCACACTCCATCCTGCAAAAGAAGAGAGCCAGTCTCAGGAAAGGAAGGAAAAAAGGTAGAAGGGTTGCTTCTCTCCCTTCCACGACACCATCTAGAGCTGTGTAGAGATCGCAGACGAAGGGATGCCAGCCACCATCATCTCCAAAAGAATTCAAAGAAAAGAGTACATGCTCCATCTCGTAATATTCAGAAGTGGAGGAATGCCGAAATCTTCCACACCAAGCAGCTGAAAAAGAACAGACTTTTTCATACAGTCAAAGGAAGAGGACATCCAATAGCTGGATTCTAGTGTCTTAGGGGAAAGCAATCTGGATTTCCCTTCCCATCTCTAGAAAACGAGAGACTAAGTATTCCTAAGACAAGCAAAGGAGGGTTGTGTGCCCTGCGAAAAAGACGTGGATCATGTTGCCAGCCCGGGAAGCAGCAGCGCTCTACCAGACGGATTTTGTGCGCAATGCCAGGGCGGTGGGTGCCCTCTGGGCTGGCTGTACCCTCTGTTTTGGCATCCTTGAGGTTGTGGTGCTGATCCAGCCAGCATGGGTGCAGACAGCATCCCTCACCTACGAGTTGCCCCCTTCAGGGATCCTTTCTGACCCCAGTGTGAGTGCCATTGGATCTTTCGGCCTCTACCAAGTCTGCACAGAGCGAGACAACGTCCTTCAGTGTGAGGGGTCTCTGGTCACCCTGACGCCCATCCCATCCTTCAAAGCAGCCGCCGTCTTTGTCCTGATGGCCCTGGTGCTGGTGATGGGCAGTGTAGCTTCCTTGGGTCTCTTCTGGTTCTGCAGCCCTGGGACTGTCTACAAGGTGGCCGCCTGGCAGCAGCTCTCAGCAGGTGAGAGAAGACAAGACCCTTCATGGGGAGCAAAGGGTGATGTCCATAAGACTGGTGGATGCAGGTGAGAGGAGGAAAGCCTGGGCTAGCTAAAAACATAGAGAAGCAAAGAACCGATGTGGGCTAAGGGAGCAATGATCAAGTCTTGCACAACCCACTGAATATGGTATGTGCTGGTATCATGTTGAAATGGCAGGCCACAAAGCTGTTCAACATGTGCACCTGTTACAGGTAGAAATAGATTTGATTCTGGACAAACTGGACACTCCTGCTCTAATATCTTGATTATCTTACACTTGCTCCATTGTCCTCTACTATTTATTTATTTATTTTAAATTTTATTTTATTTTATTAACCATACTAGCCGTCCACTGCCATGCATTGGCCCACATGTGGGTTCAGTGTGGGAGGTTTGGCCCAATTCTATCATTGGTGGGGTTCAGAATGCTCTGTGATTGTAGGTGAACTGTAAATCCCAGCAACTATAAATCCCAGCAACTGGAAGGCCACCAAACCCTTCCAGTTTTTTCTGTTGGTCATGGGAGAACTGTGTGCCAAGTTTGGTTCAGTTTCACCATTGGTGGGGTTCAGAAAGCTCTGTTATTGTAGGTGAACTATAAATCCCAGCAACTACAACTCCCAAA